AAAGAGCCCAACGTTCCCACGTGGCCTGCCTCCTATCACTCCCTATCCTCCGGAAGGCAGAAACAAATGAACCCTGAGTCAAGCAATGAATGCAGCAGACATACAGGGAGCAAGACACAGAAGGTTCAAGCAGAGATCCTGTGTTTCACAGTTTCTTCTTTCAGACTAGGTAAAATCAGGTGACTCACAGAAGCACAACAAAGGTCCCTCAAGATTTGCTCAAACATCACACTCCAGCCCTATTTAACATTACAACCTCATACCCCACCCCCATTCCCTTTCACTGTTCATTGCTTGTATATTTTCCATAGCACATATCAAGTTGTCATATTCTCTATAGTTTACTTTCTTGGGGGGAAGGGATCTACCTTCACCAGTAGATTGCCAGCTCTGTGAAGATGGTATTTTCTTCTGTTTTGTTTACTACTACATCCCCAGGGCCTAGAAGATAGGCACTCAATAAATGTTTCTAAATGAGTGAATAAATCTTTATTTCTCTAGCTACCAGATCTCAAAGTTCCAATTTCTGAGGAACCTCCTAAGTAACAAAACTGTAAACAAGGGACCCAGAGCTAGTCCATGATTTTCCCCACCTCAGACTTTTAGGAGGCACTGATACTCAAGGGCAGAGTGATGACAGAAACAAGGGAACTGGGCTTAAAGACCTGTCTGCTAACACACTATGTGATATTGGACATAATCCTTAACTTCTCTGAAAGTCAATGTTCTCATCTATAAAACAATAATAATAATGTTTACCTCAAAGAATTGCTAAGACTGAAGATCATGTGCAAAGTAACCAGCATGGTGCTCCTACACATCTTCCTGAAGAATCCTCTGGTGCACTGAGAACAAGGGCAGGCCTATCCAGGAAGGCAGCAGTTGCAGCGGGGCACCCCAACCACAGCATCCCATATAGGACTTGCTGGGTACCAGTGACTCATGAGGGTCCACATCAGGTATGCAATTATAAACTGTCCCTCCAGATTCACCCCCAAAGGGAAAATCTTATAGCTTTAATCATTTGAAGAGATAATGAGTCTAGAATGTTTCCCAGGGCATCCTTGATTGTGGTTCTCTTTAGATACCCGGACTCCAAAGCCTTCCAAATAAGTAACCCTCTTAGGCCAGGCCATGAGACCCACTGGCATCTTTGTTTCTGGGATACTTTATGAACCCTGCCAGCCTCCACCACCTCACTGCCACCAAAGCATGAGAAAAGACCTGGTAATACCCTGGTGAATAACATGGCCACTGGTACAGAGCTACGCATACACTTCTTTCTGTGGACTCTAAACATATATTCTTCCAGGGCAAGAGGTGAATCTCTGTGAGCTGCAAGATGTATAAGCCAGGTCAGTAGTACTGTCAGAGCCTCCGTACTCTCAGTCATGTGGTCTAGCCACCATGGCTAGTGTTCAGTTCCTCAAGCAAGTGAGTGTACCCCTCCTAACCTTGGGACCTTTGTACCTGAGGTTTCCTCCACCTGGGACTCTTTGGTGTTGACCTTCACATGGTGATTCTTCCATCATCCAGTTTTATTCTTAGAACACTTTCGACTCTCTGATATTCTCTTGCTCATTTATTTGTTTACATGCTTACTGTCTGCTTACCCTTCTTGAACCTAAACCCCACAAAAGTAGTGAGCCCGTCCCTCAGGGCACCAAGTCAAGCATTCTCTTCTCTCAGGTTCACCCGATCTCTCCACAGCCCTTGGACGTGGGGCTTGCCACAGAGAATAAGAAGGGCAGTTCTATGCTCCTTCAGCTCAGATGTCGCCAGAAAACAGTTCAAGAGGAGATTCTGTGGCTTCATGCCCAGTCCAGTGCTTTGAAATGGGGACCTCAGCATAAATTCCAACATGGGCTGAGTAAGTAAAGGGCCTTTTTGAGAGAGCTGTGGTTCCCCTCCTCCTCCCCCCTAGTTAAAGCTACCAAGAGGTCTCTCGGCTGCCGGATGGGGCCAGTCACCTTTCCCGGTGACCTCCCACTCCAGTAGCTCCTCTGCCCATGGCATTCACCCAGGCCAGGCCCTGGCAGTGGGGGCCCTTCTTAGAACTGACTGGCCCCACAGTAGCAACAGGGGGTGTGCAGGGCTCTCAGGCCCCTAAATTCTCTACCAAGCCAGCCAGGAAAGGGGCCCAAGTCAGTCGTGGGAGTTCAACTGAACTGAGTCCTTCGACAAGTCTACCTGGGGACTAGCCTGGTCTCCAAGGGCAGGGGGGGCTTAAAGTGTGACAGGTGGGGGGCAGGCTTCCTGTGGGGAAAATAACAGCAAAAGGAGAACTCGGGAGAAGAGATGCTGGAGCCACTAAAACGCAGGGGGGTTCTCTGCCCAGAAACCTCAGCCCATCTCTGCCTGACACACATCCCCCTCCACCCTGCCCTCCCAGACCTGTTTCATTTCCTTTCAGAAAATTTTGTTTTGGTTTGATATGTGTCTCTAGGCCTCTGGGAGAATTTTCTGAGCTTTGTTTCTCTTCTTGTTTCTAGGATACCTGAGCTGCTACTTGAGCAACAAGCTCTCAGTAGGAACGAGAGAGCGGGGTGAGGGTGAGGGTGTTTGGATCACCAAATAGGAAGAAAAAGGAAGAGAGGGAAGGAGGTAAAGAGCCTGCTTGGCTGGCATAGACCTTGGTGGCCCCCAGTTACCCCAGAGGCACACCAGGGAGCTTTAGCACAGAGCAAAACTAAACAACCAGAAAGGGGCCACTTGCAAAGAGAAGACTCAGAGTTCTAGGAAATCAAAGGGTCAGGGGATTGGGGCAGTGCCCAGGACTGGCCCAAGACAAGCGCACTGAGGAAATCTACCAGAGGTTACAGCCCGGAATCTTCCATACAACGCCTGAAAGCATAATGACTGGTAGGCACAAGAGCCAGGCTGGGACCTGCCCTTAAACAGAAGCACACACCCTTAAAGGCGCCAGGCCTGGGGCCCGGGGGGTGTACAGGGAAGAGAGAGGCTGCAGGGCTCCACAATTCCAAGGGCAGGGACACAGGGCTGAGCATGCACTGAGCAGAAGCCCGAGCCTTTCCTAGCCAGCCCCAGCCACACCTCCAACAAGAAGGAACCTAGCTTTCCCATGCAGAGGCAGGCACAAGTGGAATTCCCCTGAGACAGGCTGCACAGGGTATCCAGCAACAGCAGTCATTCACCAACTTGCTTCTGGAGAGGGAGAAGGAAGCCACTTCAGGCTCTGCAGGGCAGAGCCAGTGCAGCTCCCACCACATCTCCACCAGACAGCAAATGCCAGAGGACCACTCAGGAGAGACACTGACCCCAGAACCCAAGGGCAGAAGTCTCCTTGACACAGATGGAGTTACCCAGAAATTGGGCATTTTTCATTCAAATGGTAAGTAGACAGCTTAGGAGAAAAGCAGCTTTTAAAAATGAGCAGAAAGTCCGGTCTTGCCCCATTTTGAAACAGCTTTATAGTCAAGACTGCTTGAGTTGGAATCCCAATACAGATACTAGCTGTGTGACCTTGAGCAAACTACTTAAGCACTTTGAATCCTGGTTTCTAAATTACAGGATGGTAACAATTCCAATCTCACAGGACTGCTCTGAGTGTTAAATAAAACAATTCCTATAAAACGCTTAACAAAGTGCCTAGCACAGAATAAGGTAGCTTTCTTGATGAGATGATAAAACTAAGAAAATCATATATCTGGTACAGAATTTATACAAGCTGCTATGCCACTCACAGTGGGGAACTTGGCATTCCCAAGTTGAGGGTGGGGCAAGAGGGGGAGAGCAGCGGGCCTTCCCAGTTTTGTGTTCCTGTGCCCAGCAGCTGGAACAGAAGCTGACAGAACCAGAAGCAAGAGGGGCTCCAAGCCTCCAAAAGAAACACTCCTGCAACAGCCTAAAAAAATGATTAAGGGCTTCTTATCTGTAGGAGTGGAGGAGTGAAAAAGCAGCAAGGGAAAGAAGCACCAGCCCAGAACCCTGCTCTTCCTCTGTGGCAATGACATCTCTCCAAGTGACTAGAGCAGTCAAATGTTCAGAGCAGCATTTTTCATTAATAGCCAAAATGCTCATCAACTGATGAAGAGATAAAATGTGGTATTTTATCTTTAACGGAAGGTTATTTGGCCATAAAAATGAATGAAGTGTGAAGTGCTGATACCTGCTACAACATGTATGAACCATGAGAACATTATGCTAAATGAAAAAAGCCAGTCACAAAAGGCCAAATATCATACAATTCCATTTCTATGAAATATCCAGAATAGGTAAATCTATACAGACAGAACACAGGTTAGTTGTTGCCCAAGGCTAGAGATATATCTTAGGGGGAAATGGAGAGTGAGTGCTAATGACTGATTTTCAGGGTGATGGAAATGTTCTAGAACTGATTGTGGTGATAGTTGCACAACTCCGTGTATACACTGAAAACCACTGAATTGTGCATTTTATTGTATTTTTAAAAGATTTTATTTACTTATTTTTAGAGAGAGGGGAAGGGAAGCAGAAAGAGAGAGAGAAACATCGACATGCAAGAGAAACACTGACTGGCTGCCTCTGACTGGGGACTGAATTAAACCTGCAGTACAGCCCCCAACTAGGGACTGAACCTGCAACCCACGCACATGCCCTGAACAGGAATCGGACTGGTGACGACCTTTTGCTTTACAGGACAAGACCCAACCAACTGGGTCACACTGGTCAGGGCTGAACTGTGCATTTTAAATGAGCCAGTTATACGGTATATGAATTACATCTCGGTAAAGCTGTTTTTAAGAATTACTACAAGGTAGATATTAAAGATGGTATTGGGAGCTGTGTATAACCTACAATGTCAATCTATATGTGTGGGTAGGTATGGACGGCCAAAAAGCCAGAGCCTCTACCTGGCCCTATATTTCCTTTACAAAAATGGCACCAAAACATTAATCTGGATGTATCTCCCAGAGGATAACAGAAAGCCCCTGCCCATCCCGACTGGTTTAGCATGGCTATAAACTCCCATGCAATAAGAACTCTTCCAAGATACTTACCCAGCTGGGTAGGCAACTAAACCGGATCGGGGGTCACAGGCAAGTCCTCTGCCTCCAGACACTGTTATTCCAAGCACCTTCTCCAAGGTCACCTGTTAGAGCAAGACAGAAAAGTGACATGGTATGGACAGAATAGGGTTGGAAAGGAGGTACTGAAGGTACTCTGGACCACCCTATAGTCCTGACTACTTTCCTGATGCATGTCTTCAGAATGGGCTACTGACTTTTCCAGGTTCTGTTCGGGCCACAGGTCCCTTGATCACATGGGGAAAAGCCAGTGTACATTACTGGCTTTTAAGAGGGCTCAATCCGCTGGCACCATCGGAATGAAAATGAAGGGGTTAAAGCTCTGCTCATAGCCAGAGGATAAAGTACTCCCCCAACCCAGAAAGGTTCTGTATACACTATAAAACTTTGGGTCCCCAGCCTGGCTACTTGGATACATGAGACTCAGGGGAGGTCACTGATCTTCGTGCCTTGACAGGCATGAAAGAAAGTCCACTCTGATCTACCAAGAATCAGAAAAATGTTAGGTATCAACTAGGTGACTATAATATCCCTGATCTTTGCATTCCATCACGTTCTTCCCCTCCAGCAGAGAACTCCACCCCACCCAAATGTCTGCCAGTTCATACAGACGAGAGCCTCGGAGGCAGAAACAAGTGCAAAACACTTAATGCTGTGTTTTGCAAAGCACAGATGCTCAGAGTATTCTAATTATTATTATTAAGCCACAACTCCCACAGAGATGAAAGGCAAGCATGTGTAAAGTGTTGAGAGACTGAGAGGACATGGCCACACAAGATATTTACCATCACTCTCATCATCACTATTGTTACCCCACATGTCTGTAGTCCCCAGGGCACATGTTGGTCTAACCTCAAATTAGTTTACTAGTCTTCCTGCCAGATGACACCATGTGAGATTCAGACTGCCCTGTAACCTCTTGCTAGTCACTGAACCTTAACCCCTGCTACAGAATGTCTTGCTTGTCACTCCAGGTCCAGTCTTCTCTAGTACTATCTGGACTTCCTGCACTGGGCCTCCTCGGCAATGTCCTTGGTGTTCACTGGCTCAGAGAAAGGGGTTTCTGGATTTCAGTGGCCAAGTAAACAGGCGAGACTGTACTCTATTAAGAATCTTGGAGGCCCTAGGAGGGTGGTGTGAACCAGAAACACTTCATGGGTGTTCGTACCTGTGGCAGGGTGATCTACTCCTAGTCCGGGTCAGTTTCCAGAGAGGGGAAGCCTAAAATCAATTAGGGCAGTTTAAGGGTCACTCCTCTCTTACTGTCCTAAGTGGAGAATCTGAAGTGCTCCTAGAGGGCCTGTTTAAATTCTTATCTCCAAGGACCATTTTAGTTTAAATTAGGTTGGAAAGAAATGCCCTGTGGATACCAATGACCAAAAAAAGTCTCTTGGGACATTATAGTTAAAACCTATCTCCCAGAAATGTCCCTAAGAGTCTTCTGTGCTGCTTGGGTAGGTGAACTGAATTCTCAGTGTACTCATAGAGAGGCAGATGAGTTCTAGGGCACCATACCGACCCACAGCCTCCTGTCAAGCACCAAATTTGTCAGTTACTCTTGCATCTGTCTGAGGCACTAAACCTAGTGTGGGATAAACTAACTTTAGCCTGCTCAATACATTTTTTAAATTTGTTGGTTGCTTATTTATTAAGAAAAATTATTCCCTAGCCCCCAAAATGTTTCATAGCTCAGGAACACAGGTCAGTGACAAATTTCCATGAAACTCAACCCAAAGAAATTCTTTACATTTAGAAATCACTTTAGACTTTGAAAGACACCAGCTTTGCTCATCTCCTCAAAACCTTTCATGAATTCATACTTTCTGTAGAAATCTCCATATGCCTTCTTTCTTGGTTCAGCCACAGCAAACTTTTACACTGGTCACACTCCAACAATATGAAATCACTGCCACTTGGCCAGAAGGCCATACATCTGAGGTTTTGTCAAAGCACTGGAAGGCACGGCAGTTATAGTCTCCTTAACACCAAAATCCTTCCTGAAGAAAGGAACCCTCAATACATTCTCTCTCCTCTCTCTTTTTTTAACCTGAGCACATGCTTTTATTAATTTTAGAGGGAGGGAGAGAAACAGCAATTGGTTACCTCTTGTATCCACCCTAACCAGGGACTGAACCTGCATCCAGGCGTGTACCCCGACTGGGAATCAAACATGTGACCCTTCAGTTTATAGGATGATGCTCCAACCAAGCCACACTGGCCAGGGTAGGGCAATACATTCTTTAAAACATTTTTAAAAGATTTTATTTATTTATTTTTAGAGAGAGGGTAAAGGAGGGAGAAAGAAAGAGGGAGAAACATCAATGTGTAAGAGGAATGTTAATCAGTTATCTTTTGTTCCTGCCCCAGCAGGGGGCCAGACCACAACTCAGACCTGTGTCCTAACCAGGAATGGAACCAGCTACCTTTCGCCTGGTGGGCTGATGCCCAACTGACTGAGCCACACCAGTTAGGGCAGGGCAATACATTCTCAATGACCACCATGGCCTGGCACCAGGCTCTGGCAGGAGAGCACAAAATAACCCTGAGGAAATGTGGGGGACACTCAGATCAGGGTGCCACTCCTATCATGGCACTGTGCCTCTGGCTATCCCAGAGGAAGGGGCACTCAGGGACATTTCTGCTGTACCAACTGCCCACTGCAGAGGAGACAGAGAGAAGCCTGAGACCATATTACCCACACAGACGGGAAAGATCATAAAATCAAATGCAGTAAGCTAAAAGGCCGCTCAGGTCCTATTTCTTCAAGCTAATCTGATTTCAGACAAATCTTTTAGATTCAAATTTGCATCAGTCCTTCCATCTGCCTTAGCTTGGTCCCAAGGGTCACACCAGTCTGTTAGTTCTCAGCTTCCCTCCCCTCTGATGGAATTTGGGTGGGTGTTTTGTGGGTAGATGATGTAGTTCCATAGAGAATTAATTCTGAAACTAGCTTAAACCTTTCACCAGTAGTCTAAAGCAGGAAGGAGAAATGAGTTGCTCAGATCCTAAAGACTAGCATTCATCAAAGGTTTTTAACCATGACTCACAAAAAGAAACACATCTTATATCATGACACAGTAGGTACCACACAGGTATGTACGTGCATGTGCCTAAAACTGAAATAAAAGTTTCACAAAGCATCAGTTACTTTTAGTGCCTGTAGTACTGTATGTAATTGGTAATATAATATTCCATTTTCTATTATATTCTATTTCATTCAAAAATAATTCTGGCCAGAGCCCACTTTATTGATTTCATGACCTACAAAATGGTTGGAAGCTACAGTTTGAGAAACCCTGCTACAGGCCATCTCTTTCCACTAGGACTAGGTTCCAGGCTCTTATCTCTGGCACCTTTCTGTTCCCTAGTCACTTTCCTCCTAGGATTCACAGCAGTGTAGAGACATCCAGGCTAGGAAACCCTGCGGGCAGGAGTTTGCCTAGGTTCAAAACTTGGCTTACTTTCAAAGGATTTGTGGCATTTGGCTTTTTCTGGCTTTCGGAGCAACTAGCTAAGCAAGGGGGTAGTGGGGGAAGGCAGTTTCCTTTGGCTCCGTGGAGTAGGGAAGAGGAGGGGAAAAACATTCAGGGGCATCAGCTGGTTTTTATTTTATGTTCTAACTCAAACCAGCTTCCTGTTTGCAAGGAGGTTTTGGGCTGAGCTTCACTTTCAAAGGATCTGAGTTCAGAGCTCCTGCAAGGCCTCCAACATCTATGCTTATTTTGCAAGGCTCCAGCACAATGGACTTAGTAAACTAACTCCCTCCCTCTCATAACCTTTTCCATATCCTTTCTTTCCAAAAACATGGTATGGTTTCCATCCACCCTAGAAAATGAAGACAAACCTGGACCCTCCCTGCAAACACACCACAGGGTAAAGGCACCCAAATTCCATGCTGGAGCCAGCTTGCATTGGCCCATGAGAGCTGACTGTGCACATATTTTCCCACTTCCACATTCAATGGCAGCACATTGCTAGCTTAAAATCACCATGGTGGGAACACTTACACCATAGAAATCAGCAAACACTACATATCAGAGTTCTTTGTTTTTCCCTCAGAGAGCCCATAAACATTTACCAACACACCACTAGGTTCAAGCAACTATTATTTCACTTGGTCTGTGGCTGTAACTCCCATGCATTCTCTCTGCTTCAGACTTTGCCCCCTACAGTCTTCTTCCAACATGACAGGCCACAGTGATTCTTTTAAAATATACAAGAGATCATGTCATTACTGTGCTCAAACTCTTCTTCTTTTTCTTTTTAATTTGTGTCAGGTGATTTTTTTAAAAAAGATTTTATTTATTTATCTTTAGAGGGGAAGGGAAGGAGAGAGGGAGAGAAACATCAATGTATGGTTGCCTTTCATGCATCCCCTGCTGGGAACTGGCCTGCAGGGAACCACCCTGCAACCCTGGTATGTGCCCTGACTGGGAATCGAACCGCAATTGTCTGGTTTGCAGGCCCGCACTCAATCCACTGAGCTACACCAGCCAGGGCCTTCAAACTCTTCTAATGGCTTCCCATCCTTAAGTTCAAACACAAATACCAATACTTTACCCTAAATCATCAGTCCTCTGGCTACCTCTCTGGCCTCATTTCCCACACTCTCCTTCTCACTCGTTCTACCCCAACCACCAAGGATGCCTTAGGCACCTCCAGCTAACCTCGGGTACTCTGCATGTGCTATTTGTTGGACTAAAATACTCTTATCTCAAATATTCACACAGCTAATTCACTTGGGGCTATACCCAACTTAGCCTACTTAAAAAAAAAAGATTTTATTTATTTTTAGAGAGTGGAAGTGAGAGAGAAAGAGAGGGAAAGAAACATCAATGTGTGGTTGCCTCTGGTGTGTCCCCTATTGGGGACCTGGCTCGCAACCCAGGCATGTGCCCTGACTGGGAATCGAACTGGCAACCCCTTGGTTCACAGTCTGGCGCTCAATCCACTGAGCCACACCAGCCAGGCCTCTGCTTTATTATTCTTCATAGCACTTAAGACTCAGGCAGTGACCTGACATTGATTATATCTCTATCAACATACTTATTGTCTGTCTTCTCCA